CATGAAACAACAACACCCGCTACTACTGTAATAGTACATGCTAGGCGGAGCTCGCGCGAACGGGGGAACAATCGAGACGCCCAAAAACAGGAACGGCCACGACAACGTCATCACCACAAGGTGAAAGAAAGCGCAAGCAATCCAACTCGAAAGGCTGCGGGCGAGATTTCTTACGAGAGCTAACCTCAAGGAAGGATACATACGCACACCACGAAACGACACGAATCGAACGAATCAAATCCTTTCATTACCCTTCACGGAAGAATACTCCGAATCGAACCCCCATCACATCGAGCCAATCAACGTCGGTCACCTGGTACTTGGCCAAGAGGTTGGGCAGATGGGTCAGACACGCCTCCGCCAGCTCCGCGACCGCCTCGCGTACTTCCTGCACACGGCGGTTACACCGACGCCGCATGGTCCCGACAGCAGCAACACCGCAAAGTGCCACATAACCAGCCCGCATCGACACCGGGGGGTGACAGAAGGAAGGACGAAGGGTAGACAACGAAAAACGAAGTCGGTTGGTTGAGTCGATGACAAAAAGCACCGCTGCTGCTGCTGCTGCTGCTGCTACGGCTGCTGTTGCTGCTTGTGAAGTTTTGGAAATAAAAGGCCATCAGCAAAGGCGCGGACTGCAACGACTTGCCCGGCATGCGGCAAGTCAAGAAATGGGCGTGCCGTTCTGGGCATTAGTACGCCGATGGGAGCTCCAACACCAACACCCAACCAACAACTGCACATACTTACCATCGCAAGGACACTAAATAACGGCGGCGGCGGCGGCTTCAAGACTAGTCGTCAGCAGCACGGACGCCATCATGGTTGCTGACTGAGTAGCATAGTGGATAAGTCTTTACCTAAGATGGTCAACACGGACGCGTGTCCGGAGCGTCCACCGCATCTAAGCCACACATCAAAACCTGCTCGGTTTTCTTCTTCCTCCATCCTAACGTCACCCCCATGGCCCTTGCTTGGCTCCCTCCGCCCTCGCTCCAACAAAACAAGGGAAAATCCTTGGTTCTCTTCCTTGCCCAGCCGGTACACAAGTAACAATAGAACAGCCTTTGAATCTCCAACCCGCTTCGTTCTGGAAAACAAGTAACAATAGAACGCCCTTGAATCTCTAACCTGCTTCGCTTCCTTGCCTACAGGTGGTACACGAAATAACAAAGTAACACCCTTTGAATCTCTAACCTGTTCTTCTTTGCCCAGCTGGTAAACAAACAACCCTTACTTCTCTGTTTTCGCTTCCGTGCCTACGGCTGGTACACAAAGTAACAAAATACACCTTTGGTTCTCTAACCTGCTTCACTTCCTTGCCCAGCTGACGAACAAATAACAAAATAAGACCCTCTGGTGCTCTAACCTGCTTCGCTTCCTTGCCCAGCTGGTATCCCGCCGCAGCCCTCCTGCCCGTCTTGGCCTCAGCGGCAGCCATCTGGGCCGAGCGTAGCAGCATCTTCGCCACGACCGTCTGCTCCCCGCCGTCGAGCGACCCGCCGCCCTCGCCCACGCCTGCAAAAAAATAACATCATCATTATCGTCGTCGAGCACTCAGCCAGTCGCGGAAAGAATAACATCATGATCATCGTTGGGCATTCGGTCAGTCGCGGGGAGCATAACATCATCATCGTCATCTTCGAGCATTTCGTCAGTCGCGGAAAATGCAACACCATCATCATCGCCAGTCGCGCAACAGTCGCTCAAGGGGGTGCGGCATCTCGTGCAACCTACGGTTTAAGTACCAGCACCCGCAGCTCACTGCAGAATCGACCGAGTTGGATGGTGGTTGTTAAACGTTTCAAGAAGACACGGGGGTCGCTGGGCCCAAAAGCGAGAAAAACAATCACGGGGAAGCTTGCATCCGGCGGGTGAACGCAAGAGCACGCAAGCCATAGCGCGCGCGCAGGAGAATTCAGTGTCGCGGGAAGCTGGCCGAGTATATACATACATACGCGGGCTCGTGGTGGGCCCGAACACAACACAAGTGGTACTAGGGTGTCAAAGCCGGCGCGTCCACCGAAAAAGCAGTGACATAGGCAAGGCTGACTCACAACCTCCAGAGCCGGCCCTTGAGCGTGTCTGTGTGTGCGGTATCGAGATAGTGCGGAATGACGAACCGAGACGCTCTTGAAAAAAACAGGCACCGCAAAAGAAAGCAGCAAAAAAAAATGCTCTTAGAAACAGCAGGCACGGGAAAGGCAAGACAACACAACAAGATGCCCCCCCCAAAAAAACATGAAATCACTCAACTACTTGATTTGATTTGATCACTCACCGGATTCGTCGTTCTCCAAGAGCGTGAAGAGAGC